AATTAACGTGTTATTCAGCTGGAACTAGCAAAAAAAACTGACAAGCCAGGAAAATGCCCCCCCCCGCCCTCTCCGAGCCAAAAGCATTCTGCTTTTCCACTGTGCTTCGCTGTCAAGCGGCTTTGAGATTTCGTTCTTTTGCTGCTAAGCGTCAAAACTTTATTGCAGTTTAGGTGCTCTCCTCTACCATCTTGCCTGATTGATCCTGTGCTTTTCTTTTCAGTCCATGAGTGGTTAGGCACAATGAATGTGCCCACAGATGCTTGAAACTGTTTCAAGCTGCCCCGACAAAGCGGGCAAGCGCTTGCTTGTTCAGAAGCTTTGCGAAATATGTCATGCGGAAACACGTTTCGCGATAACAATCTGGCGCGGGAGACCAACAACGATCGCCGTCCTTTTCTCTAAAAGTTGCGCGTTCTTTCTTCCCACCACAGTAAAAATGGAGCGCAGCAATGAGGAAGGTGCAGAGGTTGTGAGGCTCCGCCTATTCAATCATTGCGGAATGCTTCTTCAACAACCCTTTAAAAACCAGCGTTTTCCGCTTGATGCTTGGCTTCCGGCAGCTAATGAATTTGCTTGAGCCAGATACCTTGTCTTATGAATGATCTTTGGAATGTCCATTGTAATAAGGAATCGTTCTCATTTGGTCCAATTTTCAGCTTCGTCCGCAAAAGAAGCCTGAAGGTTCGCCGATCAACAACGTGCCGAGCAGTCCACAACAAGCCAATGAACATGCATCTTGGAGGTAAGATTTCACATAGACTAAGCGACTGAGCTTCTTGGCTATGCAAGTAGTGGGAGGGCATTGAATGGAGGCGGTCTTGTAGGTCAAAGACCCCGTACTGTCGGACGGAAAATTAACGCGCATAGCGTATGTGGGAATCACCGTAGGAGGAGGTGGGGGTGGGGAGACGGGTGCCCTTGAGCACTGATGGAGATGGTCTCATGCCTCGTACCGTTCAGCCTGGGTCCGGCCCCTTATAGAGTCCCAAACTGGTCCCAACCGCTAGTCCCCCCTCCCCCATTACCTTAAGGCTTATTTTTGGTGAATCCAGTAGAAAGGTTCAATTATTTCCTGCGTTCTTTCAGGCGCGTTTCCGTTCTCGCTTGTGCCGACAACTTCGACCGCATCATCACAGGCGTCGGTGATCATGAGTTCGTCAGATTCAGCCCGTGACGATGTGACGCCGCCAGCTGGTAAAAGGATTAAAACGGAAGAGGATGACGAGAAGACTGCCAGGTAACCGGAATACTTTTCTTCAAAAATCTGTTAAGTGGTTGCAACAAGGCTACCGTATTCTGGCCTCAAAGTGCCCTACTCAGTTGTACTTCGACACCGTCGGTAGAGTTCATGGTGTGATTGGTTCTTTTTAAAATGGGAACACATATTTGATATGTCGAGTTGATTCAAAGGAGATTGACAGGCTTTTATGATTAGAAGAAATTTCGTCGTCATTGTGGCGCCAATGGGACGTCGTGTGGTGCCCCGCGAAGAGACCAATTGCATCGGAGAAATGATTGCTACATTTCGTTGGTAGTGAATAATATGTCAAGAGAAAGTGCTTATCAGTTGGTTGCGAAAAGCAGTAAAATAGTAATTTGAAAGTGTTCTCTGATGGTGATAAGAGACTTTAAATTTCAGCAAAATGATTGCTAAGAACTGTGAGATATGGGGTGTGAATTAAAGAAACGAATGTACAGTTCGGCTTGGAGGGGACACCAAATGGTATTCAGCGATTTCTATAGAAACCACCTTGTGAAGACCTTGTCAACTCATGTAACGAAAACGGTTCCACTTGTACCATTCCTATCATTATTATCAGGAATTTCACAAGAGTTCACAGGTCTTACCGAAAGAAACCTGTTAGTTATCATGCAGTAGGGGACCATTCAAATACCAAGGGCCCTCTCTGAGCCGAACATTGCCGTTCTGAACTAAATGAGAGAAAGAGAAGTTCGAAATTCACGGGCAGTGGCAGTTTTCATTTATTTGATCATTTCTATGTACTTGGCCTAATAATAATTGTCGGTATCAAAATAATAATTGTCGGTATCAAAATAGATATTCATGGAGTCTCACAAAGATGAGGGGGGCGGGGGGAAAGAGAGAACCTAAAAAATTAAGCCTGCTCAGAATAAGTGAATGAATTACCAATTGAAAAGAAACAAAACTCTTCATTATCTTCAGATTAGATGCCGTTTTGCAGGAGAGAGGTGCAATGCCTCTCCCAAGACGGGCTGAGGCAGCACGCCCCCCCCTACCTACAGGACATGGAGTGTACTTACCTATGACCGCGAACAGATCCAAAAAGTGTCTATTTTAGTGTAGGTATCCATAGAGTACACAGCATTCCCGTGCATTTAGCACTGAAGCGTCTGACCTCCAGCTTTACATAGTCCTTTAGTTTTTAAAATGCCACCTTACAGTAGACGTTTTGTTCCCCAGAAGATTGTGGTCTCTCTAAAAGTTGCAATTCCTGGACCAAACGTGATAGGTAAAAGCTGGCTTCAATCTCTGCTCGCGTCCCGCAACGGCTTACATTACTATTGTCGTGTGCAAATGGAATCCGTGTTAAAAATTCGGTTGACTTTGATAGCTGACGCAAGCGCTTTGAAACGCTGATAAGGAAGGTCTTTGTAGGGAAAAATTTCAATGATAACGAGGTCATGCATTTGTGAATTCAAACAAAGAACATCCTAATTTGGAAAGAACAGAAGGGGGCAAAGCTATTTTTCCTGAATCGTTGGAATTTGACTCTTTTGAACCATCACTGAGCGAGCGTTTTCAGAGATTCTGCTGCCACAGCGGTAACATCCACGTTTAAATGTAACGAATGTGACAAAGCGTTCAAAAGTCTGGAATTTCTGGAACATCATAAACTTATGCAACATAGCGGATTTTCACAGCAGTGAGTTGTTCTTTTCATGTTTTTTCTGATCTTTCTTGGGTATTGAAGACACGTTCCGCGATTATCAAATGGGCGGGGTAGAGAACTGTTCTGGTTTCTTCCTTCCCTGTCTCTCAGAAGAAGCAGAGAAAGAGGGGCAGAAGAGAGAACAAGGCGGTGGAGACATTGAACCGTAGCCGCATGGGCGGAGGCAGATCCTGTTGGTGGTTCTCTGTTCCCGCCCACACGGTCAACGTGGAATGCACTCAAGATGCAGATCGATCCTCCGATTAGGTTTAGCAGTGGATGCGGAAAGCGTTGCGAATAGTTATTACTAATTAAAAGCATGGTTAATGAGAGTGCTAACTACTTCAGACTGCAAAAATCGGGGAAATTGGGCTGAAATTGCAACAAACAGGAAAATTTCATTTTCATAACGAGTTTGGAAATAGAGCCAGAACCAGGTTGCATTTTGCCCCCCCCCCCCCCGTTAGATTCAGGACAACAGAGCGCCTTTTCAATTGAACATGCTAAACAAGACATTTTGTCGCCGTGCCCTGTTCTGGTTTGCAACTCCAAACACGCCATCTTCATAGGAGTTTCTGGCCACGCCCCTGAGCTACCGCCTTGTTTTGTTAGAAAATCAATTTTTCACTGTTTCTGCAGTACCTGTGGGTAACCCTTCTGTGTCGAAGGAATGGTATAAGGTTCTTGAGAGAAATATTACTGTTCCTTGCCCCACTCGTTGTCCTGCCAATATTGATTGATATTGATTTTTCAGACTGCTCACTGGTTTGTTGCC